TTGCTGTGGATATCATCCATTACAATTTGGTGACCAAATAGAGATAAAAAAAAGAGAGAGAATAGAGGAAGGGAAGGTTACAAGCATGAGTGGCGCTGATGAGCTGAAGAGAAACGCCGCCGCCCAACAGCTCAGTGAAGCTATCAAGAACAGAGGAATGGAACTCAGTGAAATCCAACACATTGCTTCGCATAAGAATGACTTTCCCTTTGATCTTCTTGCCACCAAGGCTGGTGACCCGGTCTGCAATGTTACCACCGGCACCGATAACGGCGCCGGCAAGATCTCCGGTGGTATTCAGAGCTCCCTCTATGATATTCTTTCCAATTCCAAACATTTTGGCTCTCTTTTTCTGTGTCTTAGTTGTAGTAGATAGAAGAAGATGGTGTGAGTGTGAGAATCAATCAATTTTGCTCTTCTATTTATAGCACAACAAAACACTGTTCTCTCTCTCTCTCTCTCTCTCTCTCACCTGCCCGATAAGCTTAATGAAAATAAAAATAAACCCACATGAACCTCATTATCACGTCCAATGATTCACATTTAAAAAATATTAGTTTCATAATCACCTTGGGGATTGAGTTTCAACAAAGTGGCCATGAGAGAAATTTGTTTAGAAAACTCATTTTTCACATCTTTTACACGTGTTTACTAAAAAAATCATCAATAATTGTAACGACTCTACTCACTACTTATAGTTCTTATTAATGTTTCATGCTCTGCTAAGATGTGGAATATAACTCTTCAAATAAAACATCATCTATAATATAAATGTTGAAAACGTTTAAAACATCTTGTATCTCTGGAAAACACAGTCATGATCTTACATGTTTAATACAAAATACTGAAATTTAAAGAAAATAAAAACAAATATAAAATAATTTAAATCAATGAAATGCAAAGTGACCTATTCTAACCGAACTAGGAATTTAAATATGCATTTACCCTATGCTCGTGCCATAGTCTCTGCTCCCGATGTCGTCATCACCCGAACATGGGCGCCTTGTCTTTACCTAAAAATTGATGTAGCACACGGCTTGAGTATTTCGAAGAATACTAGTAAATGACCGCACTACAGGGGTCATGCTAAATGCAATCACATGCAAATATGCTTTAGGACCTATCTTTATCTCACCTCATACTAGGGGTGATCTCTAGCCTGGACTACTATGGATGTGGAGTACTTCCCTACACACGATCTACACGTGCGAGTGTGAATCTTCGGGTGATTCGCACAACCCTTGAACCCTCTCTGGTCAAGCTACCTGTCTGGAGCAAACGTCCAGAGGTCAGCGGACCCCTGGTGTCATGCTCACCATGATCACTCACATCATCCTACTGTGCATGTCCGCACTCATTATGTCAAGGTGAAGTATCCCTATGCTTATGTACATACAACATGCATGAGGTCCCTCTAGTTCTCGTCTTAACATCTCTTCTGACACAACCAAGTCTCATCTCTCTGTTACATTTAGTAACACATGTTCGTTGGATATTTATATTAATATCGTTTTCATGCTCTTAGGATTGTGTTCTAGGTCGATCTATCGACATAATGCAATATGACATTCTTCACCATACAACATGCTTAATATGGACATCATCATATTAAGGTAAACGTCATGCAAAAACATCATACTCATCATAACACC